TATAACATACATATATTTAATTTTTTTATATGATAATTTTACTCAAGAATTAGTATTCAGTGGTAACTAAAGACAGTCATACTGGTAGACAACAAATTATTCAAATTTTTTCACTTCAATTTTTTTTTTTTTTTTTTGGAGAATTGTATTTTTAGTCTATGAGTGATAAGGTAATAGTGAATTTAATCTCTATAATATAGATGCCATTGCATTTTTAGTGTTTAAAAGTCAAAGTGGGGATTTTAATCTTTCTATTAACAATTTTGATGTTAAAATTATAAGTTTTTCTTTTTTCTTTTAAAGAATTTTTGAATGACCAGAGAAACTCACAGTAACTATTCGAAAGTGTGCACCGGATAAATCCCACCTTAACTTATAATCCTAGTTGACAAAAGACTATAAATAAATAAACTAATCTAGGTTACTTATAGTTGACTATGAAAAACACTACTAATAGAATTTTACATCCAGGCCAATTTCTCATCTTCCACCGAAATCATGCTCTAAGTGCATGACTTTAATTTATTATGCCTATAGAAATTCAAAAATGTAACCACTGACATCTATTAAATTAATAAAAATTAATAAAAATTAAAAAAAATACCCACATGGACAGCTCAGTTGGTCACATCTGGGGTGAAATTTGAGAACAATAATGACTTAAGATCAAGTTTCACCAGCGACATTGTAGGAGCAACCTCTCAAAGTGAGGGAGGCTCCTTGGTGCGTAGTAAGCAAATGTCTAGCCTCTGTGTTCAGCTGACCATTGGAATTGTGGTGCGAACAACAATAAAAATTAAAAGAAATCATACCCATTTTGAGTTAATACCCAAAATCGTCCTCGACTATAGTGGTTTTTCTCAATTTCGTCCTAAACGACTTTGGTGACTTAATATCGTCCCAGACTTTTGTGTTTCGCTCAATTTAGTCCCAGACTTTTGTGTTTTTGCTCAATTTAGTCCCTCATTTGTTATTCTGTCCATTTGGTGTTAAATAAATAGACAATTCAGTAATTTTAATATTGGCATCTCTTTACTCATAGACATGTGAACTGCGAAATCCCTTTTTTTTTTTACGAATTACTCCCAGAATTACTCCTAAAACTCCGAATATAAAATTTGATTTGCAGGTCCGGGAGTAATTCTGGGTGTAATTCGTACAAGAAAGAGGAATTTCGCACTTCACAAGTTGAAAGTAAAAAGAGATCAATATTGACATTACTGAATTGTCCCTTAATTTAACACCAATTTGACGGAATAACAAATGGAGGACTAAATTGAGCGAAACACAAAAGTATGGGACGATATTAGGTCACCAAAGTCGTTTAGGACGAAATTGAGAAAAATCACTATAATCGATGACAATTTTGGGTATTAACTCTACCCATTTTCTACTCCCAACTTTTACTCTCACATACAAAATTTTGATGTAGACACTTATATTGGGACCCACATGAAAAAGTAGCTTATTAGTGCCCGTCACATCAGGGAGTAAGATTTGAGATAGAGTCTGTGTAGTAGAACTCTTATTATTATTATGTTTAATTAATATCTTTGTAAAATTTGAAATAATTTAGAGCTGCAAAAAGATCGCTGGTAAAGAGTGAGAGGTCACACTAAGACATGTCTATTGAGTGCAGATTTGTGTTGTTGGCACCCTAGCAAGCATGGCAGTCCACCAAATCAATTGGATAGATCTTGTTAATCCACTATTTGCACCTTCAATTGGATGCATGGAATATGAGGTCAAAAGGGGATAACAAATTGAAGTATGTCCAGCGACTAGCCTGCACAGAATGGGAATGTGTATGTATATATATATATATATATATATATATATATATATATATATATATATATATATATATATATATATATATATATTGAAAGGTTCCTGTGCGGTGAATGCTTCCCGTGTGGATGTGCGGATGATTAATGTGCATGAGATTTGTACTCAATGTGTGTGAGTGTTGTGCTTAATGTGCCTGAGATTTGTACTTAATGTGCGTGAATGTGTAAAATGCAGTAGAAAATATTGATGTCAGCTTCTTCCCCATCCCCAGTAGCCATTTGCCCCCTCCCTGATGATGATGGTGCGGAGGCGGGCTATGGTGGTTAAAAATTATGGGAATAATACAACAGAAATCCACTCCTAGCTGCTGTGCAAATTTTACTGTGCGTGGGTCATTTATATAAACATTCAACTGCACTGAAGGTAACTGATAATCCAGAATTCATGGCCAGATTGAAGGAAGAAGTAACAAGAAGCTTGGGCGTTAATGTGCGTGAGTTTCTGTTCTGCTTCCTTCTGAGCTCGTAATTCTGAAATAGGCACGCATATTAAGCACAAATCTCACGCACATTAAACACAATACTCAGGCACATTAAGTACAAAACTCACGCATATTAACATGACGCACATTAAGTACAAATCTCAGGCACATTGAGTACAAATCTCAGGCACATTAAGTATAAACCTCACGCACATTAATCCACCGCACATCCGCACGGGAAGCAACAAATGCACCTGATCCCTTCCATATATATATATATATATATATATATATATATATATATATATATATATATATATATATATATATATATATATATATATATAGGGATGATCACATATGACCATGTTGTTAGGTGTGGTCATATGGTCAATTATAGGTCATTAGATTAGATAGATCCAATGAATCATATTAATCAAAGATTCTTCCAGTATTTTCGCGCACATTCTCTTACCCAGCGAACTGCAAGGGTAAACTCGTCATAAAGTACCGGAATGGGGAAAATCACATTGTTGTGTGTTTTATTACACTATTAGTGCATGTTGTAACATTGTTGGTGTATTCTGAAACCCGGCCGCTATAAATGGCCACTGTAATTACCATAACACCCCAACTTACCAAAACGCGCGAAAATCCTCAGAATTATCACTGCCGTTATATTAAACTGATTCAACGACACAAATACGACCACACCGCCACACCTAATGACATGACCACATATGAGCACTCTTTTATATATATATATATATATATAGAAGAGCGCTCATATGCGGCGGGGTCTTACGGTGCGGCGGTGCGGTCAAATTCCAGAATACACCAACAGTGTTAACAATATGCACCAACAGTGTAATAAAAACACACCACAATGAAATGCAATAAAACATCACAAAATACACAACAGACTCAAAAAAACACACCATATAACTCACCACCCCCAATGGTGTATTTCCGAACAGTGTATGGTGTTTTTACTCACACCTAATGGTGTGTGTTTGGTGATGTAGGGCTCTCTTTACTCTGTTTTGTGTGGTGTATTTTCCTAACGTTGATGGTGCATATTTGTTGAACTATTGGTGTTGCCGCACCGTAAGAAATAACCGCACCGTAAGACAGTGCCGCACCTGAACCCGCCTCTCTCTCTCTCTCTCTCTCTCTCTCTCTCTCTATATATATATATATATATATATATATATATATATATATATATATATATATATATATATATATATATATATGATACTGGTTCAAATGCGAATAGTGTTTTTCGTGCGGTCGGTGCGAATTCACTATTAGATATGCACCAATACACCACACTGCACCACACCAAATGGTGCATTTTCAAACATGTTGTGATGCATTTATACATATATAATGGTGAGTGACAACCGGAAGCACCTTCCACACAGGGACCTAACCCTACATTCACTATATTATATTCATCCTACATTCACTATATTATATTCATTACATGCATTACATGACAAACACAATCAGAATCAAACTGAACCCATCCAAATGGTGATGTCTCTTCCCCCATGCTCTCTGGATATATACTGGATTTCATGAGATCGAAAGAACAATATATTATTATAAGAATAAAACTATATAATATTTTTTTTTGAAGAAAAAAGTCTCTTAGATGTCTTTCTTATCCATCCCCCATATCAGTGGAGAAAAAGGTAAGGAGAAGATAGTGTAGAAAGCCCATACAAGAAGGAATGGCCATGGAATGTCAAGAATATGAAGAATTCAACTTTTTTCTAATCCAAATAATGAATAATGAATAAGATATTTATATCATTAACTTAAACTGGCAAAAGTTATATATGATGATGATAACAATTTAATAAAACCATAACTTTGAAATATCACTTATAACCAATGATTTTGAGAAAAATGGGCAATCAAAACATGTAGTAATTGGAGAAATTTCAACTAATTTGTCCAAGGATTGAAATGTGAAGATATAATATGTTTTTTTTTTTTTTTTTTTTTTTTTTTTTTTTTTTTAAGGTAACAAGTAAAAATATATTAATCAACTGAAAACAAGTGTGAAATACATCTTGGAATAGAAGATAAGCACATGTGATGATTAGAATGTAAATCCACAGCTCTAACAAGTGTATGAGCTATAACATTCTCTGATCTAGGAACGTAGGTCAACACTGATTCAAAGTGACACATGAGTGAACGACACCTTCTCAGAATGCATCCAACATACGAATGATCGAACTATTCAAAGAATTACAAACCATCTGACAGTTGGATTTGATGAATGCACGACACAAACCTCTTTCTAGCAAAAAGTTCAGAGCCTCCTCAACTGCAAATACTTCAGCCATATATGGATTGTTTAGACATAGTGAAATGCCTGATTTTGCTGCCAAGAAAGCACCATCAAAATCTGTGACTCTACATTTACTATGCGTCAAACATGTGACTTCCCATTTGAGAGAACCACGGTTTTTAATTAGAATCTTCAAACAACAAAGTCATGGCCTTCGATGCCCACCAAAGGGTATTCATCCTAATTGTATTAATATTCATTAAAATTCTCATCAATATTTATCATGACTAAAAGGTATTCATTATCATACAATAATTATAAATTAAAGTAGATGCTATTTTCATTCTTTTTTAACTAAATTCATTAATCATATCCATGTCATAAATCACCCATCACCTTTAGTATTCAGTGTAGAAGCTACTAAGTTTGGTAAGTTGGACTCCATAGGGTACCTATTGGTACATGCAGATATGGCTCTATAGTGGGCATTGTATTTTTTTTTTTTATTTTTTTTTTGAAACATTCATACATGATTCTTTACAAGGTATAGTAGTATTATCTGTACTTCTATACTTTCTCAAATTAAAATATCATTTTCAACCCAAAGAATCTAATTAACTCCTACCACCAGGGTTCAAATCTATACTACCAATTTAGAATGGTAACCGAGATGCCATCATACTACATGGTAATTGACATACTAAGCATTACACTAATAATTTAAAAAGGAAAATGCTCATTTTGCATCATGATTTTTACCTCCAAACTTTCCTCTCATGATGTGACTTTCATTTATTGGGTGCCAATGAATGTGATAACCACCACTAACTAATAAATAAATTTAACTACCAATCACATGATGACACCTTAGGAGGAGAAATTTGTAGATAAATTCTAGGAGGGGTTTGTAGCATTGCTCAAAAAATGAGCATAGTTTATCACCAACAAATTGACCTGAACTGGTACCCTGCAATACCATCTTTAATTACACATGATTCCTTTTGATTTACAAGAAAATCTGTAGTGCTACCCCAAAGTATGCTTTAGGTGAAGTCCGGCCACTTTGTGACCACAAGCAGTAAAGAACCACAAAGATTGGAGATAAACCAATTTAGATTGTCCATAACTGATCGACTCAAATCAAGAAGACTAATAGACAATTATACATACATGACTCCGATATGATATAAGTAAATATCGAGTATTATATATTACAATCGGCCTGTAAATTAATATAACTTAACCTAGCTACACTTCAAATAAAAAGAGTTTAATATCACATTCAAAAGTTAAAAATAAAGTAACATTGCATGTATTTTTGAACACTCTAATAAGATTGAGAATTTGAGATCGAGCTGGAATATATATGAAGTAAAGAGGGTGTTTTTCTAAAAAAAAAATTATCAATACAATTAAGTCAATAACAACTTTCAAACTCATAATAAGCACATCAATGTATATATATATATATAATTTCTCAAACAAATTAAATGGTTGTATCAATATTCAATACAATTCCGGCCAATATCAAATCCTTTTGATCATTAGATCAAAAGTTCAATCTTCATGAACACCCTTCAAAATGAAGGCATGCATTATTATTATTATTATTATTATATATACTATTATATATCCCTAACTTGAAACTCGTTTCGATTCTTGACAACAATGTCGTACATGTGCATGGACCTGAACTTGTTGAAGTCCCTTGGGAGAGAAATGAGATGAACGGTGGATCTCTTATGGTACTGCAGAAGCTCAGGGTCATCATAGTACCTCTCCCATCCCAGCGCCAAAAGCTTCCTTTCTAGGACGGCGTACGAGGTAATGACCTCGTTGGTCCGCACATGAATCAGCATTTTCCGGCCGCCTTGATACTCCCCCGGATTCTCCACCAGCCGGACCACCCCATTCTTGAACACCCAAACGCCCGACATATTTATATATCTATGTTTAGTCGGCCGGCGGGATGGGATGATGACTAGCTCGATCGCTATCTAGCTTCAAAATGAGAGAAGAGAGTGCCGGCCTCTCTATATATAGAGAGGTTTTGTGCCTAATTGTGCAATTCAAGGATATGATATGATGCTGGAAGGTCTGGATTGGATCTCTTGTACACGTGCACATGTAGACTAGATCTGACCGTGCACTGATTGTGCGAGGGGCAGGGTTTTGTACTGTGGGTTTAAGATTAGTCCGGCAAAGTTGGGATCACTAAGTTTTTTTTTTTTTTTTTTTTTTTTTTTTAATTTTAACTATGACTTTAATAACTTCTATAATTTGAAACCAATCAAAGAACTAGATTTGTGCCAAGCTCCTTGACATGTAGTGACTTCTCCCATATGAGAGGTCATGATGAGATCAGGGTTGTTGACTCTTTGTGCTTCTACAATGTAATAGAGTCAGTAACATTCAAAAAAAAAAAAAAACTAGATTTGTAAGAGCAACCCCATTAATTAATAGGTTATTTGTGCATGGGGTCTATATTTTATCAAAATTAAAAAGAAGTTAAAAATAATAATTTTAAAAATTAGAGTGGTTGCTAGTTGACGACCACTTCAATTATATTGCTCAGTAAGCACACGCCTGCTGGACAACTAGCACATGCAAGTGATTTCTATTCTTTTTTTGAAAAATTATGAGTTCTTATATATGCAAGAACCCAAACCTTCACATTAGATTCTCTTTCTTCCAGTCTTCCACAATATCGAGAAACCTCCATTGATCGAGGTTGCCCTACCTATAGTTTTAAATTTTATATTTCGTAAATATAGTATTGAGAGTTTAGTTTTGCAAATGGAGTTTAACTCCAAATTAATTGAAATTTAAAGTAATTATTATTATTTTTAACCAAGACAAACACGACGAAGAAAGTAAAGAAAGATATAAACAAAGATCTAATCTTTAAAGAAACTTAAACAAACTCGTAACAAAATCAATTAACAAGATTTTCCTTTATCTTCAATGGTGGATACATGTCCAATTGGCAAAAGGTGACACTAACTTGTTATGCATAATATACTGATTCTTATTCATTACTAATGAGTGACTCGGTCTTATAATCTATTGAAAACTTTATTCTTATTAGTGGTACATTTATAAGCATGGGTGCGCATTATTAAGTGCTTATTCCCATTGCTTTAGAACTTATAATTGTAAGTCGTATCTAGTCTCTAGTCATGATTGATACACATGCAAAATATTACAATTATAATCAATCTTGTATATATTAATTAACAAAATTGTAATTAATACATGAGAACACTTTTAATTTATCGATTCATACTTCTTTTTTTTTTTCTCATTCTATTTTTAAATTGATGTAATCTAAATGCCTTACCTTAAGCACAACAAAAAGAAGAAATGACACATATATACTAGCCTTAAAGTTTAAAAGCATATTAGAAATGTGCAATAATGAATAAGAAAGAATAAAATGTGTATATTAGACATGAAGCCTTAATTGCTTTTATAATGGTGGATGGGGACATTGGCAAGGACAGCAAATATGGGGCAATATGTCGTATCTTTGAGATAGTTCAGAGCCAGCTAGCTTAGCTTAGCTTCATTATATTGATGCATATATGGCATAGTGAGAGTTTGGAGGGAATGGACCCCAAAGAATTTGTGTCCAATACCAACAATTTTACTTTTCAATTTATCATGCTATATTATATTTTTGTACTTTATACCGCACTCATATATATATATATATATATATATATATATATATATATATATATGGAAAAGTAAAGATGGATTGAGGAGAATCCACGTTTTCATTATCCAAAACTACATTGAGAGAATCTTTTTTGAATTTTTTTAATGCACTAGTCAAAAGCTTTTACATACTTAAATTAAACTATAATTAATTTATGATGAATCATTTTTTCTTTCTCCCAAAAGGTTGAATCTCCAACCCCAAAGGCTCCCACAGAATATTTGGGAGGATGTAAATTACGGTAACTCAATAGCTCTTGTGTTATATGCTCCTCAATAGCTCTTGTGTTATATGCTCGAGCGAAGCACGTAGAAAATATAATACAGGAAACCTTTCTCTCATTCTGGATACAAATTTTTTTTTTTTGAATGCTACTAACTCTATTACAATGTAGTATCTATTCATAACTACATTCTCAATCAACCTACTGAAGGTACACAAAGAGCTAATAATGTCTTCACTGATGCTCGAACTCACAACCTTCCATATGGGAGTCCAACCCGGATGTCATTAGACAACCTTTCTGGGTACATTTTTTTTATACATTAGGTTTCCCAACTTATTATTATTTTTTATTCATTGACTATTGTGAATTGACCAACCCCACCTAGTGTTAAAAAAAATCTACTTATTACTCTAATATAAAAAGAACCAATCAAATATTGAAACGGAATGAGGTAAAAATTAGGAGGTGAATATATATAACATTACTCTGTGTTATGTTTAAGCGATGTTTTGAGGAAATGTAATATTTTTTTAGAATTACACATAACCTAAAACGTGGGAGAATGTGATTCCCATATAAATACTACCAAAAACAAATTAAAAACAAATTTGAGATTCTTACATTTTAATTGATAATTTAATAGGCATCGCAAGTGTACAAATTGTGTAGTAACACTGTGTATGAAAGCAAGGATTGTTCCCACGAGAAATCACTCCTAATAGAAACCAAAATATTTAACTGAATAAACAATTGGTAAAACAAATAAAAGATGAACAAAATAATTATTGCTCAAATTATTTTCTCAATTATATCACTCGAAAAGCTTGAACCAATTTCCCTAAACTCCGTCGCTCTACCATAGCTACCACCATGGACATAGGAGAAGAGGCATGTGCCCCCTTTTATGCTGCAATCTGACACCTATTTATAGTGTTCCTGGCCCCAATAACCATTGATGTAGTAAATACCCTCAATGTATATTGCACGTATAAAGATTATATCAAGAATAGAGAGTAAATAGGAGAATTTGGCTCAAAAAGGCATTGTTATTCATTGTTCTTCTGCAATCTAGAGAGAATGTAAATGAATAAAATGCCTTAGTGCTATCTAGAGAGAGAGAGCCTAGCCAAAAGCCCCCTACAATGAAGGGCTAGTTGCCTTTATATAGACCCTTGACTCGTTGACTTTGACCTGCTGACTTTGATATTGATCTGAACCGTTTGACCTCAACCCGACTACGAAACGAGAGCATGGACGTATAGAGAGGCCAAACTCGACAAAATATTCCCTATCAAGTAGTCCCCCAGTCCGTGCCCTGACGTCAAACTAATGAGGAAGGGTTTGGGTTGAAAAATCTGACTAAACAGTTCGTGACTTGCGCCGGTTGCCTCGTTAAAAACATTAAACTAAGAAAAAATCCAGCGGAAAAAAATTTTAGCTAAGGAAAAATGAGCACAGCCTTAAGCACAGTCTTGTGGACTATAAGGGGTCGCCTGAATTTTTCCGTGACGAGCTCCTTGAGTTTGAGTCGATCATAGGGGCGCGATTTACACCGGTTGCCTCGTTAAAAACCTTAAACTAAGAAAAACCCAGTGAGAAAAAACTTAGCTAAGGGAAAAAGAGTACAACTACAAGTGTAATCTTCTGGACTACCGAGGGATCGAATTAGTTGCGATCTAGAGATCCAACCAATCAAGGGATTGCATGTACTCACGATCCAGGGACCGAGTCTTTAACATAAAAGGAGACTAAACTTTAACGATCGAGGGATCGGTTTCACCAATCGGGAGATTAGATTTTTAATGAGATCTAGTGATGATCGAGATTGGATTTGTTCACGGTCTAGGAACCTCTAATGATCTTATCGATCATAAGCAGGAACGCTTCTCTCCATGCCCTTTACTAAGGCTAAACGGTCGCAATTAGCTTTGAGCTTGGTTTTAGGATCGTTCTTAGACTTAGATTACTTCATTTTAGGATCGTTCTTAGACGACCACGTTTGGTTAGTTTTGGTTACCCATATTAATCATTACGATGGGTTTTGAAAACCAAAATCATTTGAATGGGACGTTTTCCCCCCTTTTATGCTCGGTTTATAAACCGAGAGTCCCAAGTGGAGGGACGCTTGGAGACCCGGAGATCTAACGGTAACAAGACCGGGAAGGTCGTTATGTTCAGGAAGTGCGTTATGGTGTGCTATAGTCACCAAGTGCACTATGCTCGGAAAGTGCATTATGGTCGGTAAATGCACTAGTGAGCTCTGTAGGCCAAGGGGGTTGCCCTAAAATCATAACAATATGCTCGGGAAGTGACCTGATCGAGTTCACGGAGCCGGTGTTCAGGACACGAACTTGACTGTACTCATGGTAACAGTGGTCAATTTGCCTACCTTGTAGGACTTTGGAGACTACGATGTCTAAATTTGCCGATCAAGGTACCAGATCTCGATACGATTAAGAGATCGAATGCTACCGATCAAGCGGTCGAATTTCTAACCATGATCTGGTGATCACACTTACCAATCAAGAGATTGGATTTACCCGATACAGGAAGACCGACTTGACGAACTCAATTGCCTACTTTGTAGGGCTTATGTCGAGATGTGGTCCCGGGTTTAAATGTCCGTTGGTGGCAATACCAACCTAACCGGGCTTCGTACATGACTAATCTACATACATGATTATGTATAACTTACAAAGCAAATTAAAAGCTTACACGCTTTAAAAAAATTGCTTTGCTCGGTCATAGATTCAATTGGGTGAGCTCGAGCACAGATGGAGCACGATACGATTTTTAACCTTGAAACTCCTCAGTTGGTTGTAATGCTTCGTCAATATCCAAAGACCGTAATTTTTTTCGACGTTTCGGTAGTAACCGATCTTAATGATTGTAAATGGGCACCTTACTCTCAACGCCCTATAACAGGGCATATCGGTCTGAGGACTATAAACGATCACACTACTCCCTCGGTAGGCACCTTACTCCCACAAATCATATCTCGGTCCGGGGACCATAAACGGGCACGCTACTCCCGCGGTGGGTATTCACCCAAAGATCGGTCCGAGGACCAAATTGCCTACAACGTAGGACTTATGACGAGATTTAATCGCGGAATTACAATACGACCTTAATTAGTTGCCCACTTCGTAGGGTTTATGCCGAGATATAGTCCCGGGCTTAAATGGCCGGTGGTGGCAATACCAACCTAACCTGACTTTATTGCCTACATTGTAGAGCTTATGCCGATATATGGTCCCGGGCTTAAAGGGCCGGTGGTAACAATACCGACCTAACCGGACTTAGTTGCCTACTTCGTACCCTCAATGTATATTGCATGTATAAAGATTATATCAATAATAGAGAGTAAATAGGAGAATTTGGCTTAAAAAGACATTGTTATTCATTGTTCTTCTGCAATCTAGAGAGAATGTAGAGGAAGAACAATTGTTATGCTATAGACCCGTGTTCAGCATGCATGCTAGACACAAGTAACAGTGCCGTTAGGCACTGCTATCTCCTTTTTTTTAAAAGAAAAATTTTAGACCGCTTCGTTATAGGAGTATATGTTCATAATTTTATTACTATATGTTAATAACTGTACATTCATAACTCCACAACTGTACGTTCATAACTCTATAACTGTACATTCATAACTCCATAACTGTACATTCTTAACTCCATAATTGTACATTCATAACTCCATAATTGTACATTCATAATTTTTGAAGCTCTATGTTCACAATTTTAGAGCTCTATGTTCATAATTTTATCACTATATGTTCATAATTGTACGTTCATAATGTCAGAGCTCTTTGTTCATAATTCGATCAATAACTGTACATTCATAATTCCATATCTGTAGATTCATAATATCATAACTGTAGATTCATAACTCCATAACTGTAGATTCATAACTCCATAACTGTACATTCATAATCTTCGAAGCTCTATATTCACAATTTAAAGCTCCATGGTCATAATTTTATCACTATATGTTCATAATTGTAAGTTCATAATGTTAGAGCTCTGTGTTCATAATTTCATAATTACATAACTGTACATTCATAACGGCATAACTGTACATTCATAATCAAAAAAAAAAAATAACGCCGTTAACGGCAAAACACGCGCATTTTTTTTTTTAACTAAATGACGCGTTTTTTTTTTTTTTTTTTTTGAAAAACGACGTCGTTTTGGGCCCGTGTCCACAATTCATTGTGGACACGGGTCCAGGGCATAATTTGCCGAGGAATAAAATGCCATAGTGCTATCTAGATAGAGAGAGAGCCCAGCCAAAAGCCCCCTAGAATGAAGGGCTAGTGGCCTTTATATAGGCCCTTGACCCGTTGACTTTGACCTTGATTCGAATCGTTTGACCACGACCCGACTACGAAACGAGAGCAGACTTATAGGGAGGTCAAAATCGGAAAAATATTCCCTATCAACCATCAATACTTCCTGTAATTTTTTCTCAATAGGAGAGATAATATATGTCACGTTTTAAGTATTGAAGGGCAACATTTACACTATTAATAATTCAATGTTGATATTAATAATTAACATATTTGTGAGGAAATAAATTACAATTTTCCCTATCTAGAATTAAGGCTCAGACCAAGGATTAATTGAGAATATATATCAATGGGATTTTGACTTCTAGGACAACAAAGATCTAGAGAAGAATGGGAAGTAATTAAGATGTTTCAGGAACGTAACCATTTCCATATATAGTGGCACATGTTATGACCTTCAGCACTTGCTCACAAATATCTATTTGCCTACATTTTCATTGCATAGTGTACTGTGAAGGATTCCCAGAATATTGTCATGGTACCTATGTTATTAATAATACTAGGAAAAATGGTCAAATAGGCCCTCTAATTTTAGCTTAAAAGTCAATTAGGCCCCTAAACTTTTTAAAGGTGCAATTACACCCATCAACAATTTATTTAAGTGCAATGAAGCCCAAAAACAAATTAATGACCTGCTATCACAGGTCATTAGGGTTCAGGCCACCTTTCGGCGAATTTTCCGGCAAAAAAAAAAAAAAAAGACCGGCGAAATTTTCGACAAAAGAAGTGACCGGCGAAATTTTCGGCAAATCTAGGTCGGTTGCTTGTCACATTTTTTTTGTCAGAAAATTTGCCGGAAGGTGACCTGAACCCTAATGACCTGTGATAGCAGGTCATTAACTTGTTTTTGGACTTCATTGGACCTAAATGAATTGTTGATGGGTGTAATTGTACCTTTAAAAAGTTTAGGGGCCTAATTAACTTTTAAGTTAAAGTTCGAGGGCCTATTTGACCTTTTTTCCATAATACTATATATCCTGATGAAAATCCATAAACCCTCTTTGTGGAAGAATTGGATCAGTTTGCCAATTCGGTTCAAAACATTTATCTAATGGTTCAAAGAGAATAGTTATGCTGTGCATCTGTATGCACCATGCATAGTGCATACAGATGCAAAAACGACGTCGTTTTATTAAAAACGCGCGTCTCCCCTTTTAAAAAAAATTCAGGTTCGATTCCTAGTAACAACATTATTTTGTTCATTCATTATGGAATTTTAGTTCATGGATTATGGAATTATAGTTCATCGATTATGGAACTATAGTTCATCGATTCTGGAATTATAGTTCATCGATTCTGAAATTTTAGTTCATAGATTCTGGAATTTTAGTTCATTCATTCTGAAAATTTTAGTTCATAGATTAGATTATGGAATTATAGTTCATCAATTATGGAATTATAGTTCATCGATTATGGAATTATAGTTCATCGATTATGGAATTATAGTTCATCGATTATGGAATTATAGTTCATCGATTATGGAATTATAGTTTCGAACCTAATTTTTTTTTTTTAAGGGGAGACGCGCGTTTTTATAAAACGACGTCGTTTTTGCATCCGTATGCACCATGCTTGGTGCATACGGATGCACAGCATAATTTGCCGTTCAAAGATTATCTAACAGAATGGGCTATGCTTTATCTAAGATGGACCATAATTTCTATTCGTTAGGTTGCACATTCTAATCACATTTACACAGCGTAATAGACAAATTATACCGTGGACCATTGACATAAGGTACATTTTTAATATATTGATGGTACATTATTTGTATCGAATATTCAGTATTTGAAAATACATTATTTAAATACTATTAGTTAGTGCCTGCTCAGGACACCTAATGGTCTAACAAAAAAAAATAATGAATATTTAATACACAAATAGTATATATTAAAATATACCTTATGTGTAAGGTGGACCATGATCCATGGTATAATGATTGACATTTGTGGCC